GTGACATAGTAGATCTCAGGGTCTGCTGAACAGTGGACTGAATTTGTAGACTGTATTCACTACATCTGTATCCCTGTGATCTTTCTGAGTAGAATAGGATACAGAGGAAGCACTGCCATCTTTCTTCTATCAGAGGCTATTGTTAACCATTCTGTGGCCACGGTGCAATGTTTAGAAGGGGGTGTAAAATGGTTCATCATCAGCCATATGACAACATGGAAACTACCAAAAGAAGTCTCCAGCCCTACTTGAACACTATTTTTTCTACTTCATTTCAATGCTGCTTGGCACATTAACCTTGTTCCTCCTGTCACTGAGGCCATTTGACACTGGACATAAATGATTCACCATTGGGAAGCAGAGTGAAATCCCAAAGCTAAAATCAGGTTAACCGAAGCATACCTAGTAGGGAAGGGCACCTACTTTGCTACTTGAATTTATTTGTTTTATTCTAGTCGATATGTCTGGAGAACAACTTCAGCAGAGTTATAATTCTTTAAGCACTGCTACAAATATTTGATGAAAAAGACTGAACAAGCAATATCCCAGCAAGTTCAAAGGAAAATGGAAGGAATCAGCTGTGCATCAAGGAGATTAGGAGCTTGACTGGCAAAACACACAGATGTGTGCCAAGCTAGACTTTGCTTGTGCCTACCAAGAGGTGGGACCAAGACAGCTACCCCCTGCTTCCTGGCTACTTCCAGAAGCCCCCTTTCTCTTCTAATAGTACCAAACCAGATCCCTGTCACGCTTGTCACAAATTAATTGTCCTGGGTCATGCTACCTCTTGCCTTCTGTTTGGACTCGTGGACATATATCCTGCTGCTCATGCCTATTATAGGGCAGGCTTCTTGATGACTCACAGGAAACAACCCTGCCTCCTAGGACCTTGAAGGACAACTTTGAACCTTCTAATCACCTATCTTCCACAGTGAACGTGTCCCCATCCACTTATTTCCTGCCTAGACTCATTCCTCAAAGGTTAACACAGTCTTATCCACTATCACTCTCCTTATCCCAGTAACACTGAACCTCCATTTGCCAAGGAGCAGGTCTCCCTTCCAGCCTCTGCTTTCCACTCCTTCATTCCCATCCACCTCAGGCCTAAGTCCCCAGTATCCCACTTTAGATCTCCCTGCTTCTCTCTTTCTTATACTCTAGAACAGGGCTTCTTAAACTTTTTCCACTGGTGACTCCTTTTCACTTTTAGCATTAAGTAATATTAGTAGGTGTTGCATGGGCGGAGGGCATGTGCAGTGCAAAGTGCACATGCTGTGTGTTCAGAACTAAGGCTGCAGTGAAGTTGTGTGATGCAACATGGGTAAGCGCTGCCAGAAACACCACAGATTCATTACGTGTTTGATTTTGAATTAATTTTTGGTTGTTCCACGTTCAGAAACTTTTTACTGTTGCCAAATTTTTCGCCACCACATATGGAGTTGTAATCAGCAGTTTAAGAAGCGTTGCAAATGCCTGCTCCATAATTAACAAAGTTCCCTTCATCTTAAACTTCTCTTTCAGACCCTTCATCTTCTAGCACTAAGACCCAGCTCCCTCCAGGTAACTCTGAATGTCTGGCCAGTCTTCTGCTATACTTTTTAATCCCCTCCCCATATGTCTCTACTTATTGGTCACTGAGGGAAAGTAAATGCTCTCCATTGCTACTTCCAAACTCTTCTCTCTCCAGCTATCACTTAGCAACATCTGTTTTGAAATTCACACTGTCCAAATTTTATTACCCAATCCAGATTCTGTTAATGACTGACTGTCATGGCATTCTTTTCCCTTCCTCAATGAGTTTAGTGCCTAGTTCACAGTCTTCTTTTTGATTCCAACTCCTGTCCTTATACTAGAAGCTTTCAGTATACATCTAATGCCCTTAACACTTTAATTTTTTATTTCCCCAATCACTTCAGCTCCCATGACCTTCTCCTCTATTCAACCTCAGCTACACACATCACCAATATGTGTTTCACTTCTATGTACATCAACCCCAAAATTCCTTTATTTGATCATCATACCAATCCATGTTCTTCATGATCCCTGGTTCTATTCTTCATCTTTACTGTGAACACCAATATATCCATCTCTCAACAGTTTCCCAGTCCATCATCCTTGCTCTGGCTACATTTTCTTCCTATTTCAATCTTGAGCCGTCGGTGGACCATTTCAGTTTTACGGTATCCTCTGTTTTCAAATTTCTTGCCCACTTGTCCAAGCGCTTATAGTCTATATTAATACCACCATCTTCCTTCTTTGCTCGTAACGTGTGATGCTAAATAGAGCTAGAGGAAATCATGAAACTGTACGAAATAGGCAAACTGCAAATTTATGTCACTGAAAGGCAATCATTTTACTTCTCCCTAATTGGTTATCTATCCAACTTACTATAATGGCTGTGCTAAACCTTCCTTTTTAATTCTTAAACCTCCCATTGGACCACTTCCACCTACTCTTATAGGTGAGGACTTCAGTTCTAGGTTCATTGAAAAAATTGAGGCCATTCACCAAGACTATCTTCTTCTCTTTTCTCCATTTTATAGCCCCCTGACATCATCACTCACTATTTCTCACCTTACTTCAACCTACAATAATGAAGAGGTCCTTCTTTTTGCCAAGTTCAACCCCACTATGTGCAACTTTGATCCCATTCACTACCAGCATATTACCTTCAATATTATCCCTGCGCTCGCTCTCTCTCTCTCTCTCTCTCTCTCTCTCTCTCTCTCTCTCTCTCATCTTCATTTTTCCCCTATCTTCTGGCTTCTCCACTGTTGCCTACAGACATGCCCATGTGACTGTCATCCTTAAACCACTCTCATTTACTCTCACCATCCCCTCTAGCTTCTGTTCTATATTCCTCCCTCCCCCTTCTTTTATGACTAAATGATATGAGAAAGCCATCTACACGGGGTGTCTCCACTATCTCTCTTCTCATTCTCTCCTAAAAACTCTGCAGTTTAGATTTCAACCTCATCACTCCACTGAAACTGCCCTCTCCAAAGTTACAGATAATCTCTTAACTGCCAGATTGAATGGCCTTTTCTCAGGCAGTCAGTTGACAAGCACTCATTAGATGCTTATGGGCCAGGCATCATGCTAAACTCTGTGGATACAAAAAAAGGCAAAAGATAATCTCTGCTTTCAAGGTTTTCATCTTGACCTCTCTGTAGCAGTTGACACTTGAGTACTTTCTCTTTCTTTGTTGGGTTTTCACATCACTTTTTCTTGCTGATTCTGGACTCTATTACTGTTAAGGGCAGCACTATCTTCTAGTCACTCAGGTTCATCACCCCAGAGTCATCCTTGACCTTTTAATCTTTTATTCATCTCATGTATCTACTCAGTTGCCAAATCTTGTAATTTCCCTCTAATATACCCCCTTGCATCTTCTCACACACTTCCACCCCTTTTCAGGCCCTCATCTTCTCTTGTCTTGATTATTTCAATGACCTTCTAATTGATCCTCCTGCCTCTCCATTCATCTTTCACACAGCCACCAAAGTAATTTTTCTAAAACATAGGTCTGACCATGACATCTCCTACTCAGTAATCTCCAGTGGCTCCCTATTACCTCTAAGATCAAATATAAACTACTCTGTTTGGCATTTAAAGATTTTTACAACCTGGATTCTTTCTGCCTTTCCAATCTTACGTATTATGAATCTCCATGTAATCTATGATCCAACCATTCTTGCCTACTATCAGAGGCATGCAGGAACCAGCTCCTTCTGGCTAGATGATTGTTAAAATGTCAGCGTGAGTATTTGTACCTTTGTACAAATTTGTACCAGGTAGTGCTGTGAATAGAGTGCTGGGCCTGGAGTCAGGAAGAACTCAGTTCAAATCTAACCTTAGATACTTCCTAGCTATGTGACCTTGATATTTCCTAGTTGTGTGACCCTGGGCAAGTCACTTAATGCTGTTTGCCTCAGTTTACTCATCTGTAAAATGAGCTGGAGAAGGGAATAGCAAACCATTCCAACATCTTCGTCAAGAAAACCCATGAAGTGGGGTCACGCAGCGTTGGACATGACTGAAACAACTGAACAACAATAACAACATTTGTGCTTTGGAAATGGCCAAACACCAAAAATTAAGGCTTGATTTACTGTTTTGTGGTTGCCTAAACTTAAGAAAGTGATGGAGTAAGTGTTAATACTGTAGATAAAACTTAAAAGTCTGTTCAATGTTTTGTATACCTCTGCCTAAGATTCTCCTTCTTCTGTCTCCATACCTTTGTACTATTGTTCCCAAGACTAGAACGCTCTCCCTCCTTTATCTCTGTCTCCTATAATTCCTCTCTCCATTTAAGATTCATCTCCAACTTTCTGTGGGAGGATTTTCCTGGCCCCTCAGCCAGTGGTGTGTCTTACTCTGTGGTGAGCATCTGTCTCCTCTGTATGAGCCCATTTATGTACAGGTTATCTCTCCCAATAATATGCAAGCTTTTTGATAACAGATTGTTTTTGCTTTTTATCTGTATCCTCAGAGCTTAGCAAAGTGCTTGGCACATAATAAGCTTTAATGAACATATGTTGATTGATTGACTGAGCAAAAGAAATCACCAAAAGGCAGGGTGAGAGAGGAAGCCTCTTTACATATCTGGAACCAAAGTCATAAGGAGGAATTCTTTCCCCTGGGGTAAATTCAATGGGAAGGTTTGCTTGGTGCAAAGCATAGCTGAGCAGTGCAGTTATCTGGACAAAAAGGTGGGCTATTCTACAAAAAACCTAGACCATGTTCTTCAAACCCCTGAAGGAGGTAGATAGGAATGACTACAGGGGAAAGTAGTCCCCATAGGAGGGCAGTCTCAGATATGAGACCTGGAAGTGGCCACTCAGGGCCCAGTGATGGAGCTTGGACAGTCAGTCACATCACATGGACTTGTGAAAAACTGCCAGGGGAAGAAAGTATACTACATCACCAAGTTACCATAGGCAGAAAGTGTCACTCATCCTATTCCTATTAGCATTTAGCCCTGAGTCCTATTCACTTACCAATTCCTTCTTCTTCATGCACTCCATGAGTATTATGAAAAGATGCTGAGCTTGAGTTCGGGTATAGGTGAACGTTTTCTGGATGGTAACTAGCAATTGGTCCCTCAAAGATTCATTAATGAGGCTGAAAAAAAAGAAACATCATTAAAATGTATATACAACATCAAATTTATGGCCATGAATAAAGAATTAAAAGATTAGTTGCTTTTTTCAAGGGCTATAGAAGGGTAAAAAAATATAGATTTGGAGAAGGACACAGTGGAGGGAAAAGCAAACTTGTTGAGTGGAAAAAATGTGCTGTCTTTGAAGCAACAGTTTTTCACCTCCAAGATTTGATTTCAAATCCAGTCTGCCCATAGGTTGACAGAAAACCGTTTTAGGCTTCCAGCTATGAGGATTTCTAAATGAAAGCTAGCATGGGGATTGTCCATTTGGATTCTGATTTCAGCTGGGATCTCTGTCTGAGCCAATGTGCCAGCTGGGCTAGGGCAACTTGTGTTTTATGTGGTTTTTTTTTTTAAAGTTACAATGCTTATGACTAATAAGGACCTTTAGATGATTGGTTATTATGATAGTGACTAAAGTTGTTTAAATGAAGAGCAAAGGTATTTGTCAGGCAGGCCCTTGGCAAAATTGTTTACAGAGGTTTTTAATATGGGATTTATGTGTTTGTTTTAAAAAAGAATTATAACTATTACAATTGAATTAATTTCCCTTGTAATCCTGTGTATTTTATTTTATGCATTAAAAATTATTTTGAGAAACAGCACTCCAAAGGGTTTAGAAGGATGTTTGACTTGTCTCCCCACCTCCAAATTCTTTACTTTACTTTTCCCTCTTCCGGTCCTTTCTATACAACTTCAGCAACATGCCCCTCTCTCTTAGAGGCATCCATTCCCCTTCTTTAGGTTTTTAGAATTCCCAGGAAAAGGTTCTGACAAAAGTAAGTTACACTATTAGGGGAATTTAATCAATGTTTAGTTCTCCCTGGAGCAGTTACATTTTAAGCTTTATCTCTGATTATGAAATAGGATGACAAGTCTTTCCCTGCCAAGATGGCACAAAAGATGAAACAGCTGACCTCCCCAAGACAGAAACCATGTGATAGTCCTTGAAGGCCAAAAAGGCTATGCTGAAGGGAGGACAAAGGCACAGAAAAGAAGGAAATCATAATATCACCTGCCTCCGGGTGTGGTTCAGATAGCCCAAGGGCTCTCGGAAAAATACCCCTAGGATAAACAAGCTTGATCACTATCTACCAAGTTTCCCTTGATTTGCCATGAAATAGACTCAGGGCACCACCACCCTGGTATACATTGTGGATATCAAGGCCAGCACATATCAGATCAAGCAGAAGAAGCTCTATGATACAGATGTGGCCTAAGTCATCACCATGATGGAGAGAAGAAGGCCTATGTCTGACTTCCTCCTGGCTTTAGTATTTTAGAAGTTGCTAACACTACTGGAATAATTTAAACTATGGCTTGTGACAGACTTTTACTAAATTTATGGAAATCCTGATGGTCCATGAGATGGTTTCCTATTATTTGGTTTGTTAAATGTTTTCTATTTCCTGTGTATTTCAATCACTCTTACATTTCTTTCTTTTTTCTTAAGGGCAGCAGCGCATGAAGGTGGAAACACACTGTCCAACTAACACTTAATTTAAACACTATGACCCCCACTTCTACCAGCATCCAGGTAGTTTGCCTACACCTGCCATCAGGTGGCTGCCTAGAAACAGCATCAATGTAGAGACAGAGCCTTGGATTAGGAATTGGGAAAGCCAGAGTTCGAATCTCATTTTAGGCTGTGAGTTCCTTGAGATCTGAGACTTCTTCCTTTTCATTTCTTCATATCTCCAGTGCTTAGCACAATAACTGGCTCTGTGTAGGTGCTTAATAAATGCCTGTTGCATGACTGGCAAATCACTTAACCTAATTTGGCCCCAGTTTCCTCGTATGTGAAATGGGGATGAGTAGCGTATCATATTTGCTTCAGAGTACAAAGAACAAAATTCCAGTCCTATCTATGACACATATTGATTTTATGACCTTGGGCAAGTCACTGGACATTTGTTTCCTCATCACTAAAACAAGAAAGTTAGGAGGTTGGCCTCTGGGGTTCCTTTCAGCTCAAAATTCATGATCTTATGAGCCTTGTACTTGGCTTTCAATTATATAAATTTATAATTGTAGTACTTCACAAATCTTGAATGTGAAAGATTCCAGAGAACTTTGTACCCATACTGTCACACTTTCATGATTATCTGATTGTACCCATACTGTCACACTTTCATGATTTCTGATTATCCAGTTAGAAAAGCCATTTCTACATGCAGATTTAAAAAAAAAAATTAGTATCTCAAAATTTGTTCGTCTGTGTGGAAAAACTTAACCCATTCTTAACCCTAAGAGAAAATCTAACTCAACCTCCAAACTTTGCAGATGAGGAATCTGAAGCCCAGAGACAGGGAATGACTTGTCTAAGGTCAACCAAGTAGTTCACAGCAGATGTAGGACTAGAGTCCAGGACCCCTGACTCCTATTCCCATGTGCTTTCTTATTCACAATTATTATTGCTTGCCATTCCTCTCTTTGTAAAACAAAAAATTGTAAGGTTCAAAATAAAGCTACCAAAGGTGGCTCAATGGATAGACTCCTGGGCCTGGAGTAAGAAAGACCTGAGTTCACTCTGGCTTCATACTCTGACTAGTTGTGTAACCCTGGACAAGTCACTTAACCTTTATCTGCCTCAGTTTCCTGAACTGTAAAATGGGGGATAAAAATAGCACCTACTAGTTATTGTGATGATCAAATTAGATAATATTTGTAATAAGCACTTGGCATAATGCCTGCCACCTGGTGAGTGCTATATAAATGTTTATTTCCTTTCCTTTCCTCCCTGCTTCTGCATTCCCCTTCCCCCAATGTCACTCATCATTTTCATAGAGAGACGCTATAACGTCCTAATTATACCAGCAACATGTGACTCTTTGGGATGAGGGTTTTCAAGGGCCAGTTAGTGTATGCCTTCAAGATGCCACAGGGTACCTTTTCTAGTACAGACTGATGGTGATGCCAATATTGATGGTACATTGGACTTGTATCTGAGCTTGCTGAGTAAGGGTATCATGAGAGATCCGCAGACTAGAATGGTCTGCGCACTGGGCCACTAGAGAGCACTTATTCAATTCAACCAGGCTCTTGTTTTTGTCAGATCTATCAAGGGTTAAACTCAAAGATGAACACTGGTCAACAGTAATTCTTTTCTATATATTTCCTTCCCTTTCCTTGTATGGAACACCAGCTATGTTTAACCTACATGGATATCTAGATCATTTCTAACCAGCAATCAGGATAGGGACAGTAAAAACTTTTATATATACGTATATACACACACACACACATATACATACATATATATACTTCTATAAATATCTATTTATATCTATGTATATATATATCTGTATATTTACATATGCATAAATATATACCTACTCACAGAATATATATATCAAACTCTGTAATTCCAAATAACATTAAACTTTTTATATTGTATTGCATTACAGTATAATATTATTTGGGACAACTAGGTGGTACGGTGGATAGATAGAGAATTGGGCCTAGAATCAGGAAGACCTGAGTTCAGATTTGGCCTCAGACACTTACTAGCTGTGTGACCCTGGGCAAGTCACTTAACTTTGTTTACCTCAGTTTCCTCATCTGTAAAATGAGCTGGAGAAGGAAATGGCACTCCAGTATCTCTGCTGAGAGAACCTTAATTGGGGTCACAAAGATTAGAACATGACTGAAACTACTGAATAACAATATTATTATTTTAGGAGGGGATCAGGATAGGGAAAGGACCTGTGATTTCACTGATGTGGGCAATATAAGGAATTCTCAGATGAAGAAACTCCTTACTAAGGCAGGTTGGAATATTCTCTTCAATTTGTAGTCTTAGAGAATTGCTTAGATTGTTGAGAGATTAAATGATTTACTCAGGGATCATCACATGGCCACTATTTATCACAGTTGGAACTTGAATTCTCCTCTTTGTCCACTACATCATTCTGCCTCTTGATATCATTTTAATATATTATGTTATATTTCTCCCATTAGAATGAGAGCTTTTTGATAGGAGGGGTCATTTAATTCATTGTACTTGTATCCCCAATGTGTGGCATTTTATATCATTCTCATTGATGGACTGATATCCTGAAAGATCCCATGTAAAAAACATATCTTATTTTTATTGAAATGGGTGAGGCATGTGTGATTGGGGGGACATCTATTAAAGTATGAGCTCTCTCTCTCAAAATGTTTTTGATTTATAAGCTTCTTTGGGAAAACTGTTTGTGCCATCCACATCTCCACATTTGTTGGCTGAAATATGAGTAAAACAGGAGGGCACTGGGCTGCATCAATGAGTAACAAATGGTAACAGCAGGGTGAAGAGTCTTAACAGGACTGCCAAGGCCACATGAATGATGGTGCTCCAAGAAGCACTGTGTATCAAGAGGGTGAGAGCCAACAGATTTCTCCTACCAGTTCTGTCCCCTGGCCTTGTGAGTGGGAATTGAAACCAGAGTATTATCATACAGTCTAGGCATGTCTCTGCTAGTCAGACCATAGAAAGAAGTCTACATGTCCAAGATGACATGAAATGAGGACAGGTCTAATGAGAATGAGGCAGCAGGTGAAAGAGAAATCACGTTTGCCTTGGGTCTCTCACTTGCTTTTTTTTTTTAATGAAAATCTACAACTCCTGGACAAATTTAAGGGAATTTGCTACGGGAAGACACTGCTTTTACTTAGATAAATGAGGAGAAAGTAGAGGCTTTTAGTCTGATAGGATCACAGATTTGGAGCTGGAGGTGACCTTGGAGGCCACCTAGTGTAATCTCTTCATTTTACAGATGAGGAAATTGAGACCCAGAGAGTTTTTGTATTCTCATGGATTGAGTGGGAAGGGACCTCAGAGGACATCTTGCCCAAATCCCTCATTTTACAAATGAGAAAACTAAGGCCATGGTTTTTATATTTTCATAGATTTGGAAATCAAAGGGAACTCAGAAGTCATCTCCTCCAGCTCCCTCCTTCTACACATGAGAAAAGGAAA